CGGAGCCACAAGGTTTGTTTTCGATGCATCTCATAATTAATCACCGGATATTGACATTATTCCTACCATTTTTCTTTAAAAAAAAGAATGGACTGAATATTATGGAACAATTGCTCGCGATGGAGCGCTTACAGGCCACATAATGGTCAAGCTGGTGATAAAGACTGAAATTGATACCTGCTTCAGACACTTCTAATTACCTCACAATTAAAAAATATAACTAAATCATTCGTTTCGTCCGAAATAATTGAAAAAAAAAATCCTGGCCTTGTTTAAAATATTTTATGGATAGTTAGAAAAATGTTTAATGTCAGGCTTCATGTAACTAATAATCCACCTCGCAATATTCATTGAATAAATCTATGCGATTTTTAATAATTAGTATCCTAGAAATATGTCATCTTCTCTTCTTGAGATGCGCCCCATCTAATCTTATTATTAATAATTTTTATGTAGTATTAGTGGGCTCGCGTCCCCTTTTCTTTTCCTTTAATTTGTTTTTTTCTTTCTTTTGGTGGAATGCCATTTGAACTTTGATTTTATTGTGAACTGACTTGTGATTTCAAACTTCTGCATATAATGATGGGACTATACTAGTTTCCGACGTCCAGGCTTAATTTATGATCACATAGCAAACTGTTTAAATCGGCATGAGATCTTTTTGACCAGCAAAGAAGCATGAAATCTGAATGTGACTTATTTATTTTGATATTATTTAGTTTCTGAAGCGGGAAGATAAATTATCGTGATGTTTTTTTTTTTTAATTTTCGGGTTGACTGAATAAAAGTCGACATAAACTGTGCTTCATTATTACCTTTTAAATCAGCAGAACAACACTTCACAACCGCTGCAAAGTGGTGATGGTAAAGAGTGAGCATGTGTGAAATATTATATTCAGTTCACATCGAGCCACGTGTTTCTCGACTTACCCCACAGAGATTATACAAAATTTTTATATATATATATATATATGATGTTTATGTGCGCCAGAAAATACATACACTTGATCCGCTTCCCTCTTCCATTTTCCATGGTGGTACGTCGTGCTCTTGGCGAAAAAAGTTCAACCAAAATAAATGCTAAGTATTATATAGAATAATTATCAAACATCTCGAGATATCTATTATTTTATATAATGTTTTGAATCATGTTACTGAGTAGTATTAGTGATCTAATTTTTAAAAGGTGGTGGGATCAATTTTATGCTCAGAAAATTTTCAGTTGCCTCTATCAAAGCTCCAATAGTCAGCAACCAACGTCGTTGTGGAGGAATTTTTTTAAATATATATAAGGGCATTTAGATTATTTCACCAAAAACAATACCTCAATAATTCACAAGAATTAAGTTATTTTAAGATACTATTTTGGGATTTCCAGGTAGTTTATATATATATATATATATATATACACACACACTCCTCCATTCCTTAACGTAAGACTTAATTAGAAAATTAATATTGGTCCTATGTATAAGATCTATTTTTTATGTTTATGATTTTTTTCTCAAATTAATCCTATTAATATTTCTCAACAATAATCAATTAGAAGAGGGAGGAAGAAAATTAAAAAAGATGCTTAGAGTGTTTTAAAAAAAACATATTATATTAACTAATTTGCTTAAGATTATTAATTTAATTTAATTAGTTAATTATGTTTTACATTAAAGACCGAGTGAGTATATATATCTCGCTTTCATGAAATTTTATCAAACCATTTTGTTAAAACCTAGCTTATCATATATGTATATATGTATGTACATCGGGGGAGAGGAGGGAGGGGGGTGGGGGAGGGCCATGTCTGCAATGAAGAGGGGGAGTGAATAAGCTAACTGCATTGACAAGAGCAGGGGTGGCCCTCTTTCTTCCCTCCAACTTCCCTCTTTGCATGGCCCTCTTTCCTGCTTCTTCCCTTCGTTCTGATATTTTCTCTCTTTCTTTCTTTACACTTTAATTTCTATATTCCCTTGGCCCCCCCTCCCCCAAAAATTTATTTCTAATTATTATTCATTTATTCTCTCGCACATTTGAGGCCCCCCTTCCCTTTATTTATCAGGCACTTCTCTCACATATTCCTAATCCCCAACCAAATCGGCTGCCAGCCCCCCCGGCCCCCACTTCAACATCGAATCATGAAAATTTCATGATCACCAACGTCAATTCCCTCATTAGCCCCCCCAAGCCCTTTAATTTGTCATCTATTTTATTACATTAATTAATGCCTCTTTCATATATACTACTCCTCCGGTCCTTAATATAGGATCCAATTATTGAGTTAATTTTGGTTCTAAATATAAGACCCATTTATCATATTTATCAATTTTCTCTAAATTATCCCTATAGATACTCCCTCAACCATAATTAAGTAGAAGAGGAAGATGGGGTATTAAGAAAGATAATTATGGTATTTTAGGAAAAAACATGTCATGTTTCTTATAATTAACTAACTTACCTAACTTCTTTAATTTAATCAAATTAGTTAAATGGGTCTTATATTAAGGACCGGAGGAGTATTCTATATCTTGTTTCGTCTGATTATATAATATCCGGTGGCAAAAAAATATAATTATATCAGTATCCTTTTTTTCGAGTGATATTCTCGGAACCACATTTCCACTGCTCCATTCAGTGGTTCCTCGATCCCTACGGCCACCAGAAAACCGATATGCTTTAACCAGAAATTTGTTGTTTAATGGGCGTCCTTAGCATGCAAAAATAACAAGGGAAGAGATAAAACAAATCAAACTTCTTAAATATCTGTGGAATAATTAAATATTCATTGTAACATTTATAAACACAGTAAAAAATTTTTGGTTCAGAGACACATTGCCTGAGAATATTTTTTAGGAGCCCGTTAAAAAGTGGTATAATATCATCCTAAAATTGGAACAAAGATGCCCTTCGGTTAAAATATTGCAAATTTAAATACGAATGGATTATAATTATATAAAATTTAATTATTCATAGAGTGTGAATAATATGATTTATTATAAGTCTTATAATCTGAGAATGAGATTCTTACAAAAAGTAAAAGAAAATAGTTACCGGCGCATGAAATGGGCCGTCAAAGCGGCCCAAGGTGAGGGACACCATATAGCGCACTGAGAACGATGAGCTGAGCACCAGCTAAGCCGTTGGAGTTAATTCCTGTAAATTCGTATCATTATTGGATCCCACAATCAATTTAACTTCTCTCACAAATCATTTTCTCTTTAAAATCTTCCGTACAAATTAGGCTTCAATCTTCCTTAATTGCTCCTTTTATTACACTTAGCCTAACTGAGTGAAAGCCTAGCCATAACTTTAAAAATAATTTTAGAACATATCAAATAAATATGTGAGAAAAGTTCTGTCTCAAAAGTGTTTTTAGAAGTAACCAAACACCTCCTTAATTTTTTTTTTATAAAGTTTATTACACCTAATTTAACCAATAGGAGTAGTCTGTTAGCAAGTTACCAAGAATGAAGCCTCAAATCTAAATATTAGCCCCAGCATGATGTCTGTGTGATGTCTGCATGGAACGAGTTCTTCTTATCGTCTTACAAAAATATTCCTAAAAAACTTAATATAAAAACTCATAAATTCTTACTATCCTCTCTAACAGAGCAGCAATCTTTTTTCTTTTTTTTCCCCCCAAATAAAAGCTCTCCCAAAGCCAGTTATGGTCAGGATAGTGGGACTGCTACGCGGGATTCAATAGTACCTGTACATCAAACAAACACACGGTAGTTAAGTAATCCAATCGTACTAATTTGACTAATTTAAATAGATTAAAAAATAATTAAGTTAGTTATTTATAATAAATAAGTGATTTTTCCTAAAATATCATTACTGATTAAGTATACTGGCTAGAACTATTATTATTACAAGGACTATCTTGAAAAAAATGAACAAATATGGGAGACAAAGTGTGTTGGGATCTTATATTGATGATCAAAATAAAAGTCAAATGAGTTTTTATATTAAGAACCGGAGGTAGTACTATTTCCTTTTCTTAATATAAAACCTAATTTAATCAGTTTGATCATAAATATAATATCTCAATCCACTTTGTTTCTTATATTTATCTATTTTTTTAAAATAGTCATTGCAATAGTTGTATATGTTAAAAGTTTCGTGAACTAATAGTTGTAACTGATAAACTTATTAACAAAGATATTTTAGAGAAGATAATACCTGTTTATTATAAATAACTAGTTAAATTAATTTTTTAATCTACTCAAATTAATTAATTAATTTTTATATTTTATATTAATAATTGATATAAAAAGATTGATATGTGTTCAGTTTGAACATAAGATAGGTAAGAAAAATTATGTAGGGTAGGTTTTTAAAATGAAGAATAATTAAATAACCAAAAGGTTTCTTCCGGGCGGGTGCATATTCAGTCCCTTCCAGGTAACAACACCTTTTAACCACTTGGATTTTGCTCATATAAAGTAGAAAAAAGTTATTTGAAGATATATATTAACATGACAAGACGTTCTTTTTTTCGTCAAATATATATATATATATATATATCTTAAAAATGAAATATATTTAAAATATGTTCATTTTAACCATTAAATAAACTTATAAAATATAAATTTCAAAATTCTATTTTTTTATATATTTTATTGTATTGAGAATCATAACTTTAATTTATTCTTAAACGATTAAATCTATAATTATGTATATATATATCCTCACAAACATGCATTCAATAGATCTTTGCAAATTAAATTATTATTTTGTCAATTATAATTAGCGAGTATATTTTGTTTATAATAATCTAGATGAAGTTCAGAAAATTAACAATGACACACGCGGACACACTTGTGCAAAAAAGGTAAGTTTAACGTATCTTATCATGGAAGCAAAAAAGAAATAACTGTATAATTTAAACCCTATGAAGAGAAACGATTAAATATAATATATATGTAAGTAGAATTAGTAATTAAATATAGGTGATAAAAAATAGAAAATGAAGCGAAGAGGAGAGGAATATATATAAACAGATATCACCATCCTTCTCAGTGAGTCTCTGTCTGTGATGAATGCTGATATAGCCCCGTAGTTGATGCTCATCCTTCCTCCTAACCCACCCTCCTTTGAGCTTCACCCATTCACAAAACTAACTCCCTGCGACACAATAACCACGCACAAACATTCTTTCCCCACAAGTGGATAAGACCCTTCTCATTCCTTAATCCCCTCCAAAATCCAAGGATCATCCCCCCTTCACTTCACAATCAATCACACAAAAGCCTTTCTTCGACATGTTTTCTTCTCAGCCCTTGATCCTCGTCTTTAACCACCACTTTTGATACGCATAAAGCCACGGAGATTAATTGGTGTCCCCATTTTTCACTATCTCCCCTACACTGCATTTACTTGATGGACTACTACTGCGTCAGAGAGATAGAAGGAAAGCAAGCTCATGACCCTTTATTCACTCACAAAATGAGCAATAAATCGTCGTCTTCCCAGCGACGTTGCGTTTGGGTTCCTGGCCCTGTAATTGTAGGAGCAGGGCCTTCTGGGCTCGCAGTTGCAGCTTGTCTCAAAGAGAAAGGCGTCCCCAGCGTGCTTCTAGAAAGATCTAATTGCATAGCTTCTCTGTGGCAGCTCAAGACCTATGATCGTCTCCGCCTTCATTTACCCAAGCAGTTCTGCGAGCTCCCTCTCATGGGCTTCCCCAGCAATTTTCCGACGTACCCGACGAAGCAACAGTTCATAGACTACTTAGTGAGCTATGCAGAGAGGTTCGATATTAGGCCGAGGTTCAATGAGACGGTGAAGGAAGCGAAATTCGATTCGACGCTCGGGTTCTGGCGCTTGACGAGTGAGGGGAAGGCCGAGACGACGACGTCAACGGAATATCTCTGCCGCTGGCTGATCGTGGCGACTGGAGAGAATGCGGAGGCGCTGGTGCCGAAGTTAGAAGGAGCGGAGGAGTTCGGAGGGCCGATAAAGCACACGAGCTTGTACAAGAGCGGCGAGGAGTTGAGAGGGAAGAAGGTTTTGGTGGTTGGGTGTGGGAACTCGGGCATGGAAGTGTGCTTAGATCTTTGCAACCATAATGCTAGCCCTTCTCTTGTTGTCAGAGACACAGTAAGAATTTGCCTCGCTCTCTTTTCCTTTCTTGTCGCTTTTTTCCTCTCCTCTCTCAAATCCCATTAAAAGTTTTTTCCCCCCCTCTCCTCGAATTCTGAAAACTCTTATTTTAAACTTTTCGATTACAATAACAAATTCAAACGACGGAAAAAAGAAAAAGCCCATGTCAAGCAGAAACCCAGAAGGAGAGATGGGAAAATTCTCATTCATGAAACAGAAATTTCAATTAATTAAAAAAGAAAAGAAAAATATAAAAAAGGAGGAGGCACGTCTTAAGCTTGGCCATTAAAATGGTTGCAAATTGGTAAAGCCGTCTGTGTGTTAATGGTTGCAAGCGGCTCCAAGTTCCAAAGGGGTTGTATTGGAGGATCATGGTTCAGGAACTTTTAAATATTCTTTTGGATATTTTTCACTTTTCTTGGGATTCTCTCAAGCATGCGCAGAATGGGCTGGAGCCTAGCTAGAAGCAAAGACGATCATCAAACACACGATGAACTGGCTTCCTAGTAGCTTTTATTTATTTATTTTCTTGTGCTTTTCCCCACTTTGTACTGAGAAATCAAAATCATTCAGGGGATATTTTAATTTCTCTTACGATTTGACTAAAATCTGGGAGTGATGATGAAGGTGCACGTCCTACCACGAGAGATGCTGGGAAAATCAACTTTCGGGCTGTCCATGTGGTTGCTCAAGTGGCTTCCCATACGACTCGTGGATCGCTTCCTGCTCATCGTGTCGTGGCTATTGCTCGGCGACACTTCTCGCTTCGGATTGGTTCGTCCTCGCTTGGGTCCCCTTCAGCTCAAGAACCTTTCCGGCAAGACCCCAGTCCTGGATGTGGGTACCCTCTCCAAGATCAAAAGCGGACACGTTCAGGTACTCTTCCTTTCCCCTTTTCAATCATTTCATTTCCCACCTCCCTCCTCCCCTTTAGTTTCTTTTCCCCTTAATTTTTCAGGTTTTCTTTTTTAATCGAATTAAACTCAACTTGCCTCATTCGTTCTTGCTTTTCATGATTCCGTTGTAAGCACAACGAAATGAGATGACCCCTTCTTTTGTTTATATATATTCTTTGGGTGGGGGATAGTGGGGGTTGAGATTTTGGTATCATTATGTTTTTCTATCAAATCGTGCGTTCACATATAAGGTTTAGGTTTTCTTTTTATGGAGATTTTATGGAAAAGAAAATCTCAAAGCAAATGGACGGGGGAAAAGTTCGATATGTCAATCATGTTGGTTTTCTTATTTAATGAGTGTAATTATCTTCCCCAAGATTGTTTGTTTGTTTGTTTCAACTTTAGACAGAAACGAAATCTGAATGTGCATCAAACTCAAATCTTGTGTAGGTTTGTCCGGGCGTTAAGCGGCTAAAACGTCATACTGTGGAATTTGTTGATGGAGCGACACAAAATTTCGATGCCATCATATTCGCAACAGGCTACAAAAGCAATGTACCCTCTTGGCTAAAGGTATATATGCCGCTATTTCTATTTATATATACACTTTATACCCTTTTTTCTCTTTTCACAGCACACAACAAAGATCCCTGATCCCTCCTCTGTGTGTGTGAGTCCTGAAAATGATGTAAAGCAAAAAGGGATTTAAAAAAAGTTGATCTGGTATATGCCCAGGAAGGAGATATGTTCTCTGAGGAAGATGGGTTCCCAAGAAGGCCATTCCCTAGCGGGTGGAAGGGAGACAATGGGCTGTACGCTGTGGGTTTTACCAAACGAGGGCTTCTTGGTGCTTCCATGGATGCAAAGAGAATAGCTCAAGATATTGAACAGTGTTGGAAAGCGGAGGCAAAGCACAGTACTGCTTTTACTCGCTCACTTTTGCAGCAATCTAATTCATGATTGGTCGGGTTTCCCTTTTGGGTTTATCTGGTCAAGCTTTGTTAGAGCCAATGGTAAGAGATTCAGAGGCCCTATATTTGGAATGATTTATAAACAGTTTTCTAATAATAATTTATGAAATACGAGATAAATATTTAAAAAAATTTTATTTCGACTTATGTGAAATGTATTTGTAAATACTTTTAAACATGATTCCAAACAGGTTCTTATTGGGTCTCAGAACCTCAAGTCATTATTACCATTGGAGATTGATCATGGAGGTGCCTTTAGACACGGATAGGCTCAACACAAATATTGCTTCTACAGTCCACACTTTTTGTATCTCATCCAGAGTAAGGAGGCGGCCGTGAAATTCATTAAAATAAGTGTTTAAATTTTAGTGAGTTTTAATTGACTCCCGGGATGATCCCACCAGTGAAGATTCTGTGCAAAGAGGGGTTAGAAAAGTGAGTTAACAGGGGGAGATTTTTACCAGCTGACCTTCACCTTCACACGGATATTTACCAGTCAGAGCCAACCACCAGGCATGGAGGGAGAAGAAGATTTTGAATTGAAGTTGCAAGAGAAGGATGCTGATTTATTTTTCTGTGTTGGGGGGGCCTCATATCTTTCTGTACATCTTGTACATTACAATTTTTCCCTAAATTAGGTTTGACTTATTTAGAGAGGAAAGGGAAGCAGGGTGACAGAGAAAGAGTGTTTGGTATGTGATTGTTGTTTAACCTAGATTTCCACGAGTTCTTTTTTGAAAAGAAGGCATAACATCCCAATGTTTTTTCTCCCTTTCTTTTTGTTGCCTCGGATATTCTGCTGAAGCTTCATTCCTTCAGTTCAGATTTCCTTTTCTTTTCAGCTGGCCTGGATGGCAAGTCTGAAAGAAAGGAAGAAAGAAATGATGTTTCTTATGTTTATTAATGAAGATCTAAATATCATGTACCATTTTTCTGTTATCACTACTTGCACGCAATTTCGTTATCGAAATGATTTCATTCCAAGTAGGAGAGAGTGAGGACCACACCTCACCTATTAGCTAGCATCAACACAAGGCGCATTTAAAAGAAAACATGGAAAACCCAAGAATTGCAGGGAATTGCAGTGTAGAATATTTGGCTGCATTTATTCCCCATTTCCCACTCCCACCAACTTCATTAAATTCAACATGCTTCAGCTCAATCAGTTTTATCAGGGTACAAATAGTCTTGATAAGCAAAATATAAATACCATCAGAAAGAAAGAAAAGTGATTAAGCTAGTGCACAAGTCAAGAGTGACATTGATCGGATTCTGCGTAATCATATCACTGTGAGAAAAGAAATAGCCATTTACATCCTAAAACGGAAAAATGATTGCAGCATATGGGGTCAACCTTAATCTGGTGTCAAAACTGTCAATTCTGAGACCTCGAATCGGAAATAGATTTTGTTGTTTATTTCTTTCCTCATTTGCTACACACTTAGCTACACTGCCTCAAAATTTAGTACTACTCTTCTCACTACAGCCTACCTTTCAGAAAAATATAAAAAAACAAAAGGACCCCCCTTTTTCCTTACACTCTGCAGTTGATTTTTTTTTTCCTCCAGGACAACTAAACTATTGCCCCACAATTCGTACTTGTAATGTTTCACTTATTAAAAGTTGGTATCCATACACACTGTGTGTTTGTGTCTATACATCGTATATTAAACTATAGTATATGTAGTTTTATACTGATTCGGGACTTATTGGGACAAAAAGTGAAAAAGATTGAAGCTTTAAGCTGCTAGCTGCACATGGTTCCAACAAATATTGAGCAAAGCCAGCTTCCATCATTGAACTCTCCCTCGTCAAAGTCTTAACGAGGAAATCCCCCAGATGAGAGGACAAGGATTAGCGCAAATCAAGGAGAGATCAACTGTGATTATTCCGAGTTCCTTTCAACGTAACCCCAGTTTATTTGGATCAAAGTAGCCGCTCCATAATTAATATATATATCGAAATGGGTATGGTGTATATACTACCTTCAATCTACTTTATCTCTCATATTTATCTATTTATTTTAAAGTAGTTCTTGTAGTAGTTATACATGTTAAAATTATATCAAATGATAGTTATAGCTAAAACACATGATTAATAAAGGTGTCATAAGAAATACAATATCTAGCTAATTATTATAAACAACTAATTTAGTAAGCTTTTTTAATCTATTTAAATTAATTACCTAGCTCTTATATTAAAGACCGGATGTAGTGCTTGATTTGGACTAGACATTACTGTCGTTGTTGTTTTTTATATGTATATGTATATAAAATACTATCTCCGTAGTTATAATGCAAAATTTTAAAGCTCTATTTGATCCTAAATATATGGTGAAGATGTGTGATCAAATTCTTTTTCTAATATAGCCCGTTCTTGATTGTATCAAACTATTGGCATGTTTTCAATTCTCAGCATACTTTGTTTTCGGTCATTAATTAATTTCGACGAAGAACAAAATTGAGAAGTCGCATGATTTTTTATGAGTTAATGATACTAATCACCGCTCATTAAAAATCACGTTGCCCTATAATTAAGACGAGGGAGCACAGTGTAGATAGAAGGGAGATCGAGTTGGTTAGGGAATTAAGAACAGTTGGAGAAGGTTGAAAGTATGCCGACCATAAATTATTGAATGTTAAATGCGCACAAATCGAATTTTTGGATTTAGCATAAGACACTACCATACTTAATCACTAGCTTAGCTCCTAAAATTTGAGTACTTTAGAGAGAAAGAGAGAGAATGTAATCCCTATTTTGAGGCGACCGAAGATTATTAAGGTCTTTTGTCCCATAAAATCCTTATTAATCCTCCTTTGTTTGTCCTTCCTTCTCGTCCCTCTTCTTCACTTCCAGCAAAAATAATATTTTAGAACCAAAACAGAAAGAGATAATACTATCTCCCTTAACTACAAAATAAATCTTATATTTAGAATTAAAGGTAGGAACACTTTAATGCCCTATATTTTAAAAAGCCACACGTCAAGGACCTTGAGTTTTGCGTTTTAAAAACGTAATGCTATTTTATCAAAATATCTCTGCTTTATAAATTTTGTAAATCGGAGTTAAATACTCATTTAGAAATGGTTCAGGATAAAACATTTTTTTTCATACTTATTCTTTAGTTTTAAAAATGAGTGAAGTTGAAAACATATAGGGTATATAATAAGTTGAAAACAGAAAAACAATGAGTATAAAAAAATTTGTTGGGAAAAAAAGAAAACATTTTTTAATTAAAAAAATTTCAACTATGCTCTTAGAATTTTCAATGTAATTTTATAGGTTTTCTAACTTCAATGCGAGCTCGAGAATTCTGGTTAAATAATTTTTCCCTTTATGATAAACGTCAATAAAGAAAAAAACTGAAGTCCTTAATATTTTCAAATTTTAAATTCTTAAAATGCTATTATCGCTCTTGTTTGGTCCTAGAGTGGCATTTACCCTCCCACACCCCTTTCTCCACCTTAATTACTTTATTTTTTGGTTGCTAAGTCCAACAATTATACTCTGATTAGATACTTAATGATCATGATTAGAAATTAGCATCCCCTTTCACAAAAGCAGCACATAAAGTTTAAACCGCCCATCTAGGCAACTTTACCTTTCATGCTCAATTTTTTTCCTCTCGAAATTTAAAGTAAGTATGAGTGAATTTATATCTTCAGATTTTTTTTGGTACTGCAAAGTTATTTGAGTTTGAAAATTGCAAGAAGAAAAATAATTAAAAAATCATGCACACTTTTTTCGTACTCTTTAAGGTTTTGGTTGCCTGCAATATACAATATAATGATAATAGATTTTATATATGGATGGTCGATTATTGGGTTGAAAAAAAGGCAAACCGAATAGCTCATTCCCTCATGTTTGAGGTTGGTCATTGTCCTTCCATGGAATTAAGGGATTTATTTTTTGGGATTGAAAGCTGAAATATTATAATACCGTTATTGATCTTAATTATTAAAGAGAAATATTATTCTGCTCGGTCGAGAAAAGAAATATTATCCTGCTGCAATTGAAAGATGATTTTACAAATTCAATAATTACAAATAATTTTTTAATCAATAATATATGCAGACAAGATGTTGCTAATTAGATGATTAATTATAACTATGAATAATTTTCCTACATTATTTGCTCCGAGTATTCTGCTCATTATTTGATCAACTTTGCTTTCCATTCTTCTATAATTTATGAAAAACCCAAATGCAGATATAAAGTAAAAAAAAAAAGCATTTTTTCCCACAAAACACCATACATAATAATTCCATTCCAACAATTGCCCATTCCTATCGTCATTCACATTTTCACCGTCATACAAAAATTTGGACAATCAAAATGGGGCATGAATTTTTTGTTTTTGAAACTCTGCAAGAAGAGCTTCACTATTGTGAAAACATTATTAGAGAATCATCGCATAATAAAGGGAAAAAAAGGTAACTATTCCCTTACTATGACTGGACAGTAGCGTCATATATATTCATCCCCTCACTACGGCTGAATTATTATGACATGAAAATGATAATTAAGTGGTCTCGTCGATCAAATTCAAATAACTTAAAATGGTATAATCTTATACTATTTGTAACGATGGAGCCTGAGGATGGAGATGCCAATTTTTTTTCTCTTTCATGTAATTAATTAAGTCCAACTAAATCAAATTAACCACAACATATATTGGGTGAAGGAAAAAGTTGCAGAACCCATACGTATAACTCACTTTCAATCAACTTCAATTAGCCATAGTCACATCTCCCTTCCAAATTCTAATTCAGTGTTTGTACATTTCCTGAATAGCCCAACTCAAAACCCATCCCGTTTGAAGAAAATAGCCAATCTAACTCAAATCCTCTAGTGGATATTAGATATGGCGTGTGCTAGATTGGATATATAACGTTTAGCACTAGTGTATATCACATATTCTAATCAGAAGAATCTAGTTCCCATCATAGTCCCATCCCACATTACATAATTTGAGTAAGATAGCCTTTTGATATATGGTTGTACCGTTATTACATCTTTATCTTTTTACGGTAATTAATTGAAGCATGAAAAAAGCACAAACATTAAGAAAGGATGATATATGGATAATTAATTGCTCTTGACCTTTCAGAATTTTCTATTACATTCTCATTCACACTGTAAAAGCAACGCAATTTTTTTTTTTAAATGTAAGTAGTTAATGTAAACTTCTTTAACATTTGAAAATTTAGCAAGGAATCTAAGTTATTAACATGCGAAACCTAACATTCTTACTTTCTCGCTGCCATGGCCTAGGATGCATCCTGTTATCGCATGATACCGTTGCAATTTACATCTCGTATTTAGGATTGAAGGCAGTGCCTCCTCTATTATTTTTGGGGCAAAACAAAGCTGGAAGGCAGAAGCCTACAAGACTTACAAAACAATTAAATATATGATGGGTTTTGAAAGCCATTATCTAAATCATAACGCATTAAGAGATCTTGATAAGGACTGTGATTTAGAAATGTGTACTTAAAATAGAGAGAGAGAGAGAGAGAGAGAGAGAGAGAGAGAAGGGAGAGATGACCAATGAAAGAAGACAGAAATTATATAAGCTAAGTACAAATGTCGAGGCCCCATCAATTTGCTTTAAATCTTAGAGGGAATTGACTAATGTTTATGATATATGCACAATGTCGAGCAAGAGAGGTCAATTCATTGAACATAAAAAGCACGATAAAGCATGTATATTTATATGGCACTTGGGAAGAACAACAACTATACATCTATATATATATATATATATATAAAATGTGGTCCAAGCTAGCTATAAGGTAGATAATGTCCACAATATGATGATAGGGCAATTCATAAGGAAGGTACACACAGCGCACATGGCGACTAACCTGTTTAATCAGAATTCCTCAGAACCCTCATCATAAT